TGAACCTCTTTATTGGCTTGATAGATGCAAGATTGAATTTTTATTGTTGGGTTTGTTCCTTTTTAAGAAGCTTAGCTAAAAATTCACTCTTTTTGGGAAATTAGGTTTCACATTGTTTAGCTCTGGATTTTGGAATTTTTGGACCAGTTTACTGGTTTGGTTTGAGCCAATATTAAATTTTTATTGTTGGGGTTGTGCCATCTATCGATGTGTAGATTCATTAATTTTCTAACAGGATAGTACTATATAGACTAATTTGGGGATTTATGTACCCTTTGGAATGCTTTGGTTGTTACAAGATATGTAATATTAGAAGCTCCAATTTGCTAAAATTCCTTTTTTCCCTCGGAAATTATATTTCACATTGTCCAGCTAAGGATTTTTGGTTATTTCTGAACCCCTTTATTGGCTAGATTGAGCCAAGATTGAATTTTTATTGTTTGGGTTTGTGCGATCTTTTGATGCATAGATTCATTAAGTTTCTTGAAATGATATATAGGCTAATTTTGGGGATCTATGTACCCATTTGAATGCTTTCATTGTTGCAAGTTATATAGTTCTCTCTCTTAAAATGTTCCTTTATATAAAGCTTTGCTAAAAGTTCCTTTGTTTTTATGGGGGATCATATTTCACGTAGTTTAGCTATGGATTTTGGTTTTATCTGAACCTGTTTATTGGCTTGATAAGGAGAGTTGAGGAGGGGGGAGTGGTGTGAACTAGGGAGTTTGTTTGTGGTTGGTGAATGAAATAGATTAGGTTTAGTTGCCAGCTTTTGGAGCCTGGCATCTTAGGTGGACTCCGTTAATTTGTTCTCTATTGACTCTGGATCAACTGGTAGTAGTTAGCTGAATTAATCCTTTGGTGGTTAAGCTAAAAGTGGCTTCAAGCCGTCAATTATTTGACTTAAGTGTATTTTTCCCAAAACTTATATGTAAGTTGAGTAGGGAAAGCAACTTTGTTCTTGAATCAAAGATGGCGTAACAATATATTTTTCCAAATAGGTGATGATTTTATTAAATGCATCGAGAGGATGCAAACAGGTACAAAAAAATGGATCTTATGTAAAACTTAAAGAGTCAACAAATTCAATAAGTTGCACTACATTGTTTATATCCAGATGAGCACATTGGTGGTCTATATCTATAGTAGATTTGTCCGAGTCTATATAACTTTTCGTATCCGGATGTCAAAATTCTTTATCACGAGCTAGTTATATTATGAATAGAGATCTCATTTTGGGTAACCGGCAGCTTGGAGAGAAGTTAAGCATGGAGCAGTGGGGGTTATATATTCACAATGAATTTACTCTCAGAGCTCCAAATTGTGATTATCCTTCTTTCGTTGTCATCTCATTCAATGTGAATACAGGTAATGCTAAAATCTCTCACCTGTTTAACCGCTGGTTTAGAAGACTGTCGTTTTACGTTCCCATCCAAAAAAGAGTTGTTTAATGAACATGTGATTCTTCTTGTTTGGTTAGATCAAATTTCAAAAGTAAGCATGGCCAAACAGAGTTGTGAACTTAACCAACAGTATGCAGTCATGTGTAGGAAATCCACGTATTAGTGTGTGATTTACCAAAGAATGGGGTGGGACACATTTTTTTATAATCTTTATCTTTTAGAATAAGACAACTTAACATATTCATAAGGATCTACTCCAAATGGTTGCAATTCGTTCTTATGTTTTAGGTATTAGTTTGTCTTGAATGATAAAATTTTCAATAAAGTCCTTTGCTTTCTTATTAGGTCATATGTGATCCTTTTTGATACTATGTACTATTATATAGGCTTTTCATCTTGTTTATGTTTTACCTTTCCATCAAAATTCAAAAGTGATATGCTTTCTTATTAGGTCATATGCGATCCCCGCATACTATGAATTTTAGCTGCGCACGTTGTGGTATCCTACATTCCGCAGCTTATGTTTTCTAAGAATGCTTTTTGATTGTAACTATGGCTTAAACTGACATGGGTTTTAACTTTATGCATTAGTAACATATTCGTAATCAGTGCTGCGTGACGGTATGTAAGGCTCAACTGAAACATTGTTGTTCGTCTTGCTTAATGAATTTAGTAATGCCTGTGCTGCTCTATTTTTTGTCATAAACTTAATGTATCATTTTCTATATGTTGTCGCTGCAGTGTCACAATGGACACACGATTTGTTCGACATGTAAAGCCAGGGCACACAACCGATGTCCCACTTGTCGACAAGAGCTTGGAGATATCAGATGCTTAGCACTGGAAAAAGTGGCTGAATCGCTTGAACTCCCTTGCAAATATGGTTCTGTTGGGTGTCCTGAGATATTTCCTTATTACAGTAAGCTAAAACATGAAGCAGTTTGCAACTTTAGACCATACAACTGCCCTTATGCTGGGTCTGAGTGCTCGGTTGTCGGTGATATTCCTTACTTGGTTGCTCATTTGAGGGATGATCACAAGGTAGACATGCATTCAGGGTGCACTTTTAACCATCGCTATGTCAAATCTAATCCTCGAGAAGTGGAGAACGCGACGTGGATGTTAACAGTAAGTTGGAAATCTTCCTTTTCTTATTTTCGGTATATTCATTAAAAGGACTTTAGCCTTGTGGTTGAGGTTTAGCATGTTCTTCAAAAGTTGAGATGTTTGATCAAGGGTCTCAACATTTAGAAGGTGCATAATAACTATCACCTGCACTTACGTAAAACTTTAGCTGTCATCTGCTACATCTGATTTGTTATTACACACCTGATGATGCTCTTAACACTTGATAAAGTGGTTCGTCATATGCGGACGTATCCTATCCATTGTTGCGTGACTTTGTTTAGTCCTTAATCCAGATACTCTGCCCTTTACAAGTTTAATTTGATACCGGGGGAGTATTCTGATCAAGAAGTACACTCCTGCTTTTGCTACTCAGTACCTGAGATATAATTTTATACCTAGTACCAGAGGCGGAACTAGTATTTGAAGCTTATGGGTTCGGGATTATAATTTTTTTAAGTTACTGAGTTCTAAATTAATAATTTGTACATACTCAATAGATTTCTTAAGACAAATACATCGTTTGGACCAAAGCTATTGGGCTCGGCCGAACACGTAGCCGAAGAGGCTCTGCCGCTGCCTAGTACATTGTGCTTGTTTTACTCCTTTATGAACTATTTTAATTTACTTCACATGAGCTCAAAAGAAGTTTGCCTAAGGCTAGAGTGCTATATTTTCTGTTTCTTTTCAGGTTTTTAATTGTTTTGGTCAGTGCTTCTGTCTCCATTTTGAAGCCTTTCAGCTCGGAACAGCTCCTGTTTACATGGCATTTCTTCGGTTTATGGGAGATGAGATCGAGGCTCGAAACTATAGCTACAGCCTGGAAGTTGGAGGCAATGGAAGGAAACTTACTTGGGAAGGTACGCCCCGAAGCATAAGAGACAGTCACCGGAAAGTTAGGGATAGCCACGATGGACTCGTTATACAACGTAACATGGCCCTTTTCTTTTCTGGCGGGGAGAGAAAAGAGCTTAAACTACGAGTAACTGGAAGAATATGGAAAGAACAGCAGAATCCTGATGGAGGAGCATGCATGCCGAATCTCTGTACTTAATGCTAATTGGATTTCTGCTATTTTTGTTGTACCATGTGCTGAATTTTCAGGACAGAAGTGAATTCAGACGTTAAAAATTCTCTGAAAAATGTGTGGAAAGTTTAGTTCATATGTGCATGAATTGACAAGAGCTTTTTTGTTATTAACGCTTGAAAGAGCATGTACCATAAACATCTAACTTGTTTTTCCTAATGAAGATAACTACTTGTGTGCCTGTGCTATTTCAAGTTTCTGGTGTCATTGCAATGGTAGTACTTAAATGCATTGATGACACAGAGCGGTTTTCAACAACAACCACCCTGTAAAATCCCACAAATATGGTCTGGGGAGGGTAGAGCGTACGCAGACCTTACTTCTACCCGGCGGGGTAGAGAGACTGTTTCCGAAAGACCCCGGGCTTGTGGTCTATATCTTCCTCTGCATCAAGTGATTTAATGTACTCAATGGTCTCAGACCTAAAAGGTTGACGAGCTTGTGGTCATTGGCGGAGGTAGGATTTCCGCTAAGGGGTTCAAAAGAAAAAAGTAAAACAATTAAAAGGAATTCTGGCCAGTGAAAATTGTACCAACAACCTGAACTTCCTTGACCATCGAGCTATGTTTTCGGGTTGTTCCATGGGGATTTTAAATATGTAGAGGCATAAAATGGATTTTACCTTATATGTATAGTATGCTTTTCAAACGAAGGGGATTCGGCTGAACCAGTAGGGCCAATCAAATGTGACATGTTCAAACTGCATCATAGTTTAAGTAGTAAAGAACTCAAAATCCAAGAGGAATAAACAACACAAGCAACAGCCATAAGAAATATTCCAAATCTACACATTCTCTACAATTTGTCTTTGCATCTATCGTCAATCTTGAATAGAAAAAAGACGATATGTAGAAAAAGAACATGACTGGCATGAACATTTACAGTGCTCATTTGCAGGATCGGAGCAGAAAGCAACACGAGATTCTTTAGCTTCAGAAACTATCAAAGGTGCACTCAAGAAATTCTTAGAAAAATATACTGCTAAATTTCAGAAATACTTTTTTGTGCCCTACTGGTAAATCATTTACTCATAAGTTTCTAAAAACTGAAGGTTCAAGGAAGCTAAATGCGACTTATAAAACGCATTTGGGGAATGCTACTTATAAATCATATTCATTGATTGCGACTAATTAAGGGGTATTATCACTTTTAGGCCGCACCAGAAATTATTTACATCTTGTAGCCGAAAAAGTGTATAAAACTTGTATAATTTTTGTATATAACATACATAATGTATATATATACAAAAAATATACAAATTTTATACATTTTTTCGGTTGTTATTTTTACAGCGACTATACTGTGTCATTTTTTCACTAATTAATTAATCTCATTTGGTGAATCCATTTATAAAGGCGATGAGTGCGACTTATAAGTCGCATTTAATGAATACTATAAATCGATTTTGTAGCTCTCACTTATTGAAGTAATTTTTGAAATTCTGAATTGCGACTTATTTAAGCTCGGGCAAAAAACTCTCGGACATTTGAACTTCGGATTCGACTGGTAAGAAACTTCTGGAATGCTGATTTGAAAATCCCATTCGAGGAATGTGACTGATAGATTGCATTTGATGATTATATGACTTATAAATCATTTGATGATGCGACCTATAATCCATACCAAGGAAATAATGCCACTGTTTCCCTCAAGGCTTTATAATTTAATCTAGTAGTAAGAGCGCAATGTGTGATGTATGAGTTAGGCGCACGTTACACATTCGAATCTTGCTCTAGTGAATTAATGTGGAATACTTACGAATGCATGCACGTACAACGGGATTGTCCTGATTTTAAGTGTTTTTTATTGTTGTATTCATGAATACGACAACGCGAATATATGTGAATACATGCGCGTACAGCTGGATTGCCCTAATTTTAGGCGCTTTTTGTTGCTGTATTCATGGATACATGGTGCGAATGCATGTGAATACATGCACGTACAGCTGGACTACCCTGATTTTTAGGCTCTTTTTGTTGTTGTATTCGCGAATACGGCAAATACACTACCGTAACAACTGAATAACTTGGGAAAGGTTTGGCTTTTGGTGTCCCAAGTCACCAGTTTATCTTGAATCCCAAATCGAGAAAAATATTCGACTTTCCAAATGAAGTCTACGAACCAGAAATTCTAAGTCAGGAAATCTGTTGAACCGAGGGAAGGTGTTAGGCACCCCCGAATCCCGTAGTTCTAGCACGGTCGCTTAAATTGTTGTAATGGCTAAATATCTGATTTTAATACATATTATAATTTATGTGCTTTTATCAACTTTAAACCGCTTTTATTATTATTATTTTTTAATAGAATTGCAACGTCGTGAAAATGCATCTCGAACCACGTCGCAATCAATGCACCCGTGGTTGTTAATACATTCCGACTCCGTTGAGATTTGGATTTGGGTCACATAAATGCACACCCAAATTTAGGAGATTTGGTATCACAACTATGTCATGGGAACCGTTCCCATAGCCACGATAATTTATTAATCGCGCCTAAAGCAAACTACGAATATACAATTATTTTTTCTAAACTACTTTGAGATTATTGCAAAGCCGAGAGTTATGGAATTATTGTGGTAAAAGTGATATAGTGTAGATTTTTATTCTTTACCCAGTTTGTATTTGAGCCCGGATCATAATCCTTGCTATGACTTATTAAATCTAAAAGCCCAAAATCCCATTCATCTCACTTTAAATTTAAAAGATCCAATGGCTCTAATATACCATAGTTTCTTTAGCGTAAGACTCCATTTTTTATAATAATTTTGAACTTAAAGCTATATATTGTTTCATGAAACAAGAAATTAAAATAATTGAACATTAGAAACATAACATCAACTAAGGAATAAAATGCTAACATAAAAATTGTTTTTTTTTAAAAAAAAAGAACTTCCTTTAAAATAATGACTTATTTACGTTCAAGTCTAACATGGATTTCTC